TAGAAATAGGTATAATACAGTAATATACTAACCAATGACGTATTGAAGTGATTGACTCCCATTAGGTATCTGAAAAAGGCATTGCATTCAGTGGTCAGTAATGTTAGATAATTGTGGGACAAAAATATGTTTTCAGTTAAATTATTGAATACTTGTAAAACTGCTCCTGCTAAATATAAAGTAAGTTATAAAAAATATATATAATAAAATAAATTAATAAATGATTTATTTGGACAGGCACTGGAGTTTATTGAACGCCTAACTCATCCAGTGATTGGTATATATTGTCTCAATTTGTATCCACTAACAAGTCTACAGTTTTTTAAAGTATGAATATTTCTATTAAACAAAATTTACAAATATTTTATTATTTTAATACTTGGTATCTTAATTATAGTTTGCAACCGAGTGTGTCGTAAATTTTTGCCTAACTGTTAATATAATGAAAACTTATATTGATATTTAATCGTGAAATAATATAAAATTTATTTATATATATTAAAATTTAGTTAGTATAAAAATTGATATTAATTTTAAGATATAAATATTTTGCATTACATTCAAACTACATTTTGTAATCTGAAAAAAAATATTACTTTACTTAAAATAACATTTATCAATTAAATGAATGTCAACCTCATCCCTAAATATTTACTACATATAATAAAAATGTATTTATAGAAAATATATGTATTAATATAAATATAATGTAAATAAATAATTAATTTTATTGTTTAATGTGCATATATGAGACGCCAAGTGTTGAAAGGTGCTTCTGTATTGTAGTTCAGATTGTAATGAATGCAGTATTTGGTTTAATGTTATAATGAAATAAAGTATGAGTATAACATTAAACCTAATATTGCATTCATTACAGTTTGAAATATAATACAGAAGAACCTTCCACATCTTAGCGTCTCATATGTATTTTAATTGTTATAATATAATTGCTAATAATAAATTTGTTTTTTTAATTAGTTGACTTTACTATTTTATTAGTAACAAAAATTACATATAAAATATTAGATTATATAATTAATTGCACAAAAAATTAAATTTAGGTGTAATTGTCTTAGTATTCATATTACTGGTGCATTTACTAGTAATATAAATGCTTATTGTGAAAATAATTTGAAAGGTGATTTATATATTAACTATACTCTATAAATATTTTCACCAAATATGAGTTTATTATGTGATTTTGAATCTGTATTAATAAATAATCGGATAATACCTGAATATATCACACAAAAATACCGCAATCAATGTTTATATTATTGCATATTTAACTGGATCATTAGTATTCGGTATTTATATTCATCATTAAATACAAACACAATTATTTGGGCCATAATTGGTGACCCATTGTATGTGACCGGGGACAGGGTTTTGTTGAACTTAATATTTCTGTCTATTTCTACACTTGGGACACTATTTAGGACCACATTTCTATGGGGTATACTGTATATTACTAATAATATATTTTATAAAATTATTTTAACACTTTTATAATGACTTTAATCTTAGGGGAAAAGACAAATCGTTTAGCGTTTGTATCACATGTGATACGATTGCGAACCGATTCATGCAATCATTACATGAATGCGAAAAATATTAGAAAACTGTCTAATGTTTCAAAATTCATTGAAATCATTGTATTTAAAGTAATTTATATCTGTTGTCCCATTTTGTTTGCATTGGTCTACGGGTCCAGTTGTGTAATAGCCTATTGGGAACAGACATATCATTTTTATGCCATACCACTATTATTCTGGTTTATCATATTAATCCTATGGGCCATTCATATGACCTCGGCCATTGTATTTAGCTAGGGTCTTTTTATATTCATTGTCTATTATTTAAAATTGCGATTTATTGAGTTGAATGAAAAATTTAATATAAACGCAAATCTAAAGCAACTATTTTTGGCCCACAATTACCTAACATTACTGACCACTGAATGCAACAACTTTTTGCGATACTTAATGGCTATCAATCACTTTAATATGTCAATGGCTTGTATATTATTGTTTTATACCTATTTCTATGGGAAGGGTAGTATATGGTTTCGGGTGGCCTACCTGAGCGTCGGTATATTTGGCACTATACTCATGTATCTGATGACCAGATGCAGTGGCTCCCTGTCCAGGGAAGCCCACTATTTATATAAACACATGTTTTCTGTTGGCTTAATAAATACTAGCAAAAGTGGTGGTGCTAGGTATAAGGTAAGCTATTATTTAAAGCTTGGTTAATAATTAAAACTTTTTGTTTTCGATGTATTAATTATAATTTTATTTTATTAAATAGTCCCTTCAGTTTATTGAGCACCTTACCCGTCCCGTAATTGGTATATATTGTCTTAATTTGTACCCGCTCACGAGTGCACAATTTTTTAAGGTAATTAGATTACATAATACTTTATTCATAAATAATATATTTATATTTCCCTTATGGTTTGCCATAGAGTGTGTCATAAATTTTTGTTTAACAGTTAATGTTATGGAAAATTATTTTAAAATATAAACAAATATAACCTGGTTTAATTCCTAAATAATATTAAATTCATAAATATTATTTTAGTAACATGTAAGTAATATGTAATTTCACGTTATGTAATAAATCTGTACATTTGACTCATAAAATAATACTATTTACTTATAAATTAAGATTTAATTTAATAATTGAAACATAATTTAATAAATTTAATAATAATAGAAATTAAATTTATTAATATTAATAAAGGTGCGTGTTTGCAATACTCGTCAAATATAACAATAACTCAAAGGGACTGGTAGGCATAGCTAGCATAAGGCCTGTCATCGTAGATACCAAAGGGACGGTTAAGTGAATTATTGATGGTTGTGCCCACTCGTGCCCAGCCCTCGGGTGTCACCGTTGTTAACAGTATCACAAACTGTATGATCAGCACAATCGAGTTGATAATGCCCAGGGCCAACTCATTGTCCTAAACAACAACAAAAATAATTTAATACATTGTAAATGTCTTTTGGCTAACAATACTCACATCATATGAAATGGCAAAACTTAGACTAATTGCCGTGATTTGCAACGGGATTAACACAATAAATGCCAACAATATCTAAATTAATCAAATATTATTTAATGGTAATATTCTCTCTCTCTCTCTCTCTCTCTCTCTCTCTCTCTCTCTCTTACACACACATACATACATACATACATACATACAAACTCACATACTGTATAATATAATATCATACAATTTTTAAAATTTTGAATTATTCATAATCATAATAAACTTACCACACAATGCAAAATGTTGACACTCTCCTTTAAAACACCAAGCATATAAATGATGAACATAAAAAATCCACATATAGTTGATATAATACCCGGGGCACTATTATTGCTGCAGCCTATTGCCTCAATGAGTCCCACAATAATCAATATTAAACCGCATATCTATTATAAAAAGCATAATTATTAACAAGCTAAATTAATGTATCGCAATAACTAGTAAATTACCAGCCAGATAATATTGGCCACAAATCGGACACGTTCGCCGATTACTATTTTAGTCATTATGAGTGATATTCAAAATGTCCTTGATTATATGCTAACTTAATAATATTAATAATATACCACAATAACAAAAAAATCAATATAATACACAAGTAATTAGTTTCTAAACTACCGTATAATAAATATTATATATTACAACATACAGTATGTATGAAAATAGCGATTTATTTGTATCATAACAAAGACTTAAACATTTTTAACAAATGAATTAGATTTAATAAATGTTATCTCTATTTCTATACAAAAGTCTTTAGATAACAGCAATAATAATGACTTTGTGTTTAAACAAAAGCAAAAATAGCAGACAATGACTCATAAAAGCCTATTATATGAGCGAAAAAGTCTTATTGTTATTATCAATACAATTGATCTCATGTTTGCGATGATTGTATAACTCGTTACCAGAGTGTTGAGAGAGACTTTTGTCAACACTTTTTATTGATACCAAAAGTTATATAATTTTTTGTTTATGTACAAATAATATTTTTCATACTTAATAATAGAAATGTTAATATAGTATAATTTTTTGAATGTGCTTAATAGAGTATTACATTCATAATAACAGTGAAATTTGATTTACGTGATTCATTTTAGGATTATTTAAAAATATTGTTATAATAATCTCTGTTAACTAACCAGAATTTCAATGTCATTTAAAAATAATTATAATGTTATGTATTTCACATGTTAGATGGCTATAGTATTTGCAATAAAATCATTAAATTATTATGACACACAATAAATACAGTATATAACATTTAAATAATAAATTTCTAAGATAATTTTAAAAACTTCATACTGTATATAAATTACCATGCACAACTCATATATATATTATGTAATACTCGTAATTAATCCCAAAACTATAACAAGATCAATGATCAAATCAATTTGAATGATCAGATTAATTGAGTTGATAGTGGCCATGGCTAACGCATTGTCCTAGTTAACAACAAAAATTAAACTAACTATTAAGTTATTTAAAATATGTTTTCACCATGTTGTACTCACACTATGTACACGGGATAAACATAAGTAAACTGCCATGATTTGCGACAAGATTAGTACAATAAATCCTGGTATAGTCTAATATAAATAAATGTACTTTAATGATAAATTAACTAGAACCTTAATTAAAAATAATTTAATATTATACTCCGTACCACACAATGTAAAAATTTATTACGCTTTTTTAACACACAAAGAAAGTACATGATGATCATATTAGCATATATTCCGCAATGTGTTGCAAAAATGCCCCCGATACAATTGTACGTAGGAGTAACTGTATCAATTAATCCCGATATAATTAATACTAATGCCAACACCTGTAATCAATATTATAATTTATAATATAGTATACTTATATGTTTAATTAATTTTTAAAATTACCAGCAAGATAATATTAATAACACATCTGAATCGGTCATTTGTTATGTTAGTCATGATTAGTTTAGTTATTTTTTTGTCATGAAGTTACTAATTATAACTACAATAGTATAACTTTTAAGTAAATTGTAATTTATCATCACACAGGTCTATTAAGTGACTGTAGCTGTAGTTATAGAAATAGTTTTAATATTTGTTTGAGAAATACTATAAAAAATATAAATCAATACAATTTACGAGTATTATGTTAATTATTTATATTTCCATAAAACAAAATAAACAACATTAAACAAAATATAAACTAATCTACATATTTAAAATAACAAAGTTTCACAATACAGTATATCTTATTTTCATAGATTTTTTACCTATTTAATATATTTTTATTAAAGATGTAAACAAAAAATATACATAATAGCCAAAATGAAATATATTTATTTTAATAAAATAAAATAAATTCTTTACATAAATATAGTTTAGGTAATTAATATTACACAACTAAAACTTTTATTCATATCATTAAGAAATTAATCATTTAAAAAAATAAAACTTTTAACAACTTTAATAGGCAATGGTAAAATTATTATAAGTATTTAAATAAAATAATTATATACAATAAATACTTTTATTATGATTTATTAATAATTTATACTGCTTCACAATTATTAATTTTTTTATAAGAGAAATAACTATTTATTTTTGTATTAACAATAAAACATAAAACAAATTTAATGCAAACTATTAAGATAAATTGTTTTTATTAAATCATAATGTCATATAAGGTAATTCTGTTAAATACATATTTTTTTATATTTTTTTAATCTGTTATGGTATAACCCCGGTAAAACATAATATGCCAAAACCAACTTCCCTTCACATCTCTACGTCTAATCGTGCGATACGTCTCTCAAAACTGTAATAAACAATAAAATAATAATTAATTTTATATTAGAGTGAAAGGGATGGTGACAAAGGATCTCATATTCAAGTGATAATTAAAAGTTTTACAAACATTTACTATTTATAAGAAAATTTGTATAAAGGTCTATATAAAATACTGTATACTACATTTGACCAAAAATAAACTAGATAGATAAGTTTTTAATTTTTTAAAAACCTACCTGGGCTACTTTTTGCAGCAGTCGCAGCCGCATTTGCCCTCGCACTTGCAGTTACCGCACCCGTTGCACTGTTTCATCTTGGTCAGGGTTATTTGGGTTTCAGTTGTTGTACACAACCAGATATTTAGCACACAATTATGTGATAGGTTAGAAAACTTTGGTGTATAGTGACAATTGCTTTTCCCGATATCCGGATGATTTCAATGTTGGCCATGCACCCACTTATATACCCGGTCAGGCACCTAAGTGTAGTGTGCAAAAGTGACATTTGTGAAAGTGCCGTGCGCATAATTTTGCGTACGTGTGCAAATTAAATGTTGACTGTTTATGATTTTTATCGCATTTAATTTCTGTTGGGTCACCAAGCATATTAATGTTATATACAGTAGTTAATTATTTTTTGAAATAAAATTAAAAATATTTTATATATGATTTAAAATATAATAAACTGTTTGTATAGTTGAATTAATTTTGCAAATTTACAATAAATTAACAAAGTTATTTTACTGTGAATTTTAAAAATAAAATACTAAACACTTGGCGATACCATTAGTCGAAAAGTCATTGCTAATGTTATAAACACATGACAACATGAATTATTAAGCAATTTGATAAACACCGATATGTTATATAAATCATGCAATTAATGCGAACACAATTATTGGGGAAGGGTCAACTCATAAAGTAAAAAATTATTCATTAAGGGACATAATTTTAATAAAAATTACTTATGTATGTATGTTTCCAAATATTGTATATTATAATTGATTTGAACGTTAAAGGGAATAAATTAGAAAATTGACAGTTTAAATAGCTTGGTTACTATGGTGAATGGAAAATGTTTGCAAAAAACTTATCATTAGTTTGCAATTTTTGACATTCATTTGATAGTTGACTATAAACGTAAACAATTTTGAAAATTGTGTATATAAAACATTATACATGGCTTAGATCATAAAAATATAAAAGTTTTTAAAAACGTTTGCATTTTATGGCAAACAAACAATTTGAAACTTTAAGTAATGTTTATAAACAATTATTAAACAATTTAAATCTCTTTTAATACATTGAAATGAATGCAAAACAAATTGTGTTTTAAATATGATTTTAGTATTGCATTTGAAACATTTTTATACAATTTCAAAGTTAATCTCATACAAATACAAAAACACAATTTACATTTACATACATTCATATCTCATGTCATTTTTATTGAGTTATAAATTATTTATTAAGCCATAAAACTTTTATTTTCTTAAACAAAGTACAAAATCAACTAAAATACAAAACAACACACACAACCGTATAAAAATAAAACATAATTTATTACTTAATCAAGACTGTAATAATTAATCTCTGGTATAAGTAATACAAACAACATACATGTTATTTTTTGATATATTGATACAAATCTTAAAACCTATTACAAAAGTATATAAATGTATACAAGTCTATTAGAAAATCCATAACAACAACCTAATGATAAAATTTATAATTTTATAAATAAAAATGTCAACCCTATTCAAAAATTAATTTATAATTATTTTACATATTTTTGTGCTTTTAATTAACAAACATATTTGAGTATACAGCTGGATATACCAAAATAATAATAATTCATGCAAATATACTAGAATTAAATACACACTCAATTTAATTGTATTGATTGTATAGTCGTATATGAGACACATTTTACATACAAACTCCACGTATAGCGCTGTATATTATCTTAACTTTTATTTACCCTAATTAAACTGATAATAATAATAACTATTATTGCTATACGAAAGTGAAATGCTATTGATTTGTTTAACGTTGTTTGGTAAAATAATAGTTGTATTTTTCCCAATTAAACTAGTTAGCCAAACCTAATGCCCTAAATCTAGTTATTACCTTGATATAATATAAATTAACACACCAGTATTTATGAAGTTTTTAGATAGGGCCAGGTTCCTATTAAATATACTTTGGATTGTAAGTATGAGCATCCTATCAAAAACGCCCACCTAAATTAAATTCAATTTATTTACTAGGGCTCAGCCATACCCCTAATATGTATGGGCATTTTGGAGCTGAGGTATAACCATGCCGATGTATGGGCACCGGTATTATCGAGTATATGTGGTTTTGTGATGTTGTGCCAATATTTCTTAGGCATGTTTACAGTGAATATGGATTTGTGTTGTTGTGTAAGTAATATAATCATTATATCATTAATGGCGCATAATGTGTAACATTGATTTATGTCTGTACATGTACATTTAGCTAACATACAATTAGGTTTACATTGTTAACAAGTAGAGTAAAATGTTTATTAAAATAAATTATGTCTAGAATGTAACATAATTTATAAACAAAACAGTTTAGTTATAAATTATATTAACGTGTACAGTATAAATATTTTATTACAAAATAATACTAAAATATTACTCAAAACTATTTGAATAATGTTTATAATTTCTCATTTTAATATTATTTGTAAGTTGAAATTTGAAATTTTAATTTTAGCAACAATTTATAAACTAATTAATTGCAAAAATATTTTATACCACCTAGATATCGTGTGGATTTTTCATACTAATCCCACTACAGGTGACCGCTATATCCCTATGTTTCGTAGGCAACGAGAAAGTCCCTGATGTGAGTTATATTAAAATTATAAAATAACTTATAAATAATAATTATTTTATTTCGCTAGAATTACACATATGCCCTAGGTATTATCAATAGCATTAGTGTGGGCGTGGAGTTCTTGATAGCACTGACCACGTATGCCGATCCCGGGTGGACACGATTTTATCAATTCATACGTAATTCACTTTTCAGACCCTTTGGGTTATACACAGATACGGGCGGCTATGAGCCCATTGCGTCAATATAAGCAAATTTTGAGCAATGTTAATTTAACAAAGTATTTTGATTTTATAACAAATTATTTTATGTTTTCTTATTATAATTTGCATAACAATTTTATTTGCACATTAATAATCTGTGATAATTTTTTGGTTTGAACTTAATATAAATATAATATAGTATAATTATGATTTTTGTGTTTTAAATACCAAATAAAAATTTTGTTAAATAATGATTTAAAATAAATTAGTTTTAATTATATAAATTTTGGTAAGAAATAAAACATATATTCTTTTATAGCTTATTATAATATAGATATTATAATACAATATTAAATTAGGATATAAATAATATTATGCTTTTCACAGTGGGGTTTACAAGTTTTAATTCAATTATAGGTTTTAAAAACATCATACATATTAATTCCGGATATCAATTATAGCATGATTACATTATTCATGTTTAGGAAATAACCGTTTAATCTCGCTAAATACCTTTATAAATTCATCTTTATAATCTTTAAGAAACTTATAAGCATTGTCATTTTGTCGATAATCTATCTGGGCATCGATGATCCAGGTCAACATATCATCAATAGCCCCAAACTTGACACCGAGACATTTTTTCACTTTGTGCTCATTTGCAATGTTAACATGCTTGTACAATTTGCTAAATATATTACTATATGTAATAATCACACTTTTTAACCCATCAACTTCATGTCCCTTGCTTGACCCTGGTGTATTTATGAATGTAACATGGATATACAAGGAAAATTTATACAATATAATTTGCAGCTTGGTTATATCTAAGTTGTAGTGCGCTTCCCAGTTAGTATGATCTCGCACAGTTTCCAAATTATTCTTGTAAAAATAAATCATCATATTTGCAACCATTTGTACGGAGTCCACAAACTCTGTTCTCATAGCGTAGTTGAAATTATCATGGTCATCAGCAAGTTCCGTCATTGCATTTGCCCATAATTGTTGAGCATTGATCATTTCATCCTGCAGATTTTTGTCAATAGCCGTTATGTTTGCGGATTCCAGGCAATGTCGAAATGCGGCTACTTTTTGGTTAAGGTCACTTTTGTTAAAACAGTTAACATTATGGTTTACAAGTGAATATACAGCTAAAATAATACTTATACTTTTAAACACAATATTCATGGTGACTGATTAAAATCTTACTATTTTAATAATTAAGCTTACAAATCAACAAGATAATTGTGTTTAAAAATTAATAATGTATGTAAACACTTGTATTTATAAGATTTACGGTGGAGTGCAGTATAATTGCTTTGTAATTATGTTTAATTTTTGATTCTCTAAATGTATTAATTTATTTTAAGAAATTGTCACAAGTTTATTTGAAAACAGATTTAATTTACTTTGCCAAAACAATTTCAATAATATATTCGTAGAAAAAATATTTCGTCTAATAACTATAATATTATTTTCGTTATAATTATACCTGTACAAATTAAATTTATACTAGTTAAATGCATCATTTTTATAAAGTTCGATGAATCATCTTGATAAGTTTCTATATTATTTTACTATGAATTTGAAAATATTATAAATGACATAAAATATGTATTTATAAAAATATACTATTTATTTAATTTTGACAATTAAATGGTATATCAATATATTTAATCTGTTTCCATCTAAATTCATAATAAAATGTTATTAATTATTACTTTCCTAGAATTATCAAGCATACTGTATGCTAAATATTTTTAATGAGAATTCTTCCTATGATACATATTTATTTTATCTTAAATATTTAGTACAGTTTCTTATAAATTATTAATTAAGATTAATATAATTTTAAAATTAATTAATATAATTAAGATTAATGTGCTTAAATGCTTTTAAAAATAATTTTAACTTAGGTCTTAATTTATGTTTGAATTACATACACAGTATATGAATTAGTACATTTTTATTCTTGGCAAAAATTATAAATTTATACTGTAATCACTTAGAACTTAGTAACAAATCTGGAGATAATTATTTACAAAAACAGTAATAAAAACTATATTACTTTAAGCTACATTATTTAAGTTATTGGTGTATTGATAGTTCATTTATATTTGAATTTTATTTTGTAACAAAACTGTATTATATTTATTGTAAACCCAAATCCATAGGCGACTGTCAATGAACCAAATGATGACATCTTTGATATTAGTGCCAAACCACAGGCCAAACAGCCCTCCCGTGTATACCATTAAGTCTGTCAAAGACATGACCGGTTCCTCCCTATAGACAGGTATGGGTTGTGTTGAGTCCCAAACCAATGTCTTCTCTGTCGACATGTATTGCGGACTCGAGTTATGCCACAAATGGTTACCAATCCGGGAGTCAGTCGTCACGACCCGTGAGTTGTACTCAACTATTAGACAGTCTTTCGGACAATAGTTCACACATTTTGCGCTCAAATTTCTA